TTTTGTCCATGTTGTGGAGACTGTCAATGTGAGTATAGGCAGTAGTAGACTTAACAATGAGTCATTGATCACTAATTCATCTTCGTCGCCATTTGTTCAGCCATAATAAAGATACTGATCGCACAATCATACTTGGAGTAGTATATTCTATTACAGCATGCTTAGGTAGTGTTCGTGGTTAGGATAGGATATGTACCCGTGCCAGATATAATACTGTGCTTGTTGACTTGTTACGTGTGCCTCGCTCATTGTGGTGTTTCCTGTTGTCGTTGGCCCTTCCTTGCTCTCCTGTAGGGACCCACTAGTGGTTTTGTCATCTGAGAAAGTGTTTGTATATGACAGGAGCAAGTCCTACACAAGTCATACATCCTGGACACTTGGTAGGATGCGTACTGTTCCAAGACTGGATACAACAGAACTCTGTAACTTTGAGGCTAGCACCAAATATCCAGTGCACCACATTGTTCTGTCCCAACCAACGTACAGCATGTGATCAACTAAAATAAGTGTATAAAATAAAACGGAGTTGTGTGATTATAAATTTTACATTTTCTTCAGAATGCAAAAGAAACATGGCTAGATACTGTAGCGTACAGTACAGTATATATTGTCTCTTTAGAAGAAACACCACACACACACACTTTCATTGTATCTGTTATCTCCTTAAATGTTCAAAACAAAATATTCTGGAATGCAAAGAAGAAGCAATTGCTGCTTGATTTATCTATTTTTAAATTTACTTTGTTTGTCTTGTGAATTTCTTATCAGTAACTTTCTTTAATGCATTTATTAACCACTGTTAGGGCTGTGCAGGACCCTAAACAAATTCATATCAGATTTATTTTTATTTTTAATAAAAGCTTTCCCCCTCTGGGATGGCACCATGTAGGATCAACACCTCAAGGATTGGAATCCAACAAGTGCTATTCTGCGAGACCCGTTTCAACCTTATAGCCATATAGCACAAATGAGTTGAGTCAAGAATTGACATCACAGCTCTGGGAGCATTCCCAAGCATACTCCGTCCTCATCTTCAGCAGCCAGCATACTGGATCCTACCCCAGATGATGTCAAAGCACAGTCCAACATTTTAGAGGGCGGAGACTGGGTTTTTCAGCTTTCTGATGCTTTTAACGACTCTGAAACATCTAGAACTGGCCTTAACACCAACCCACCTACGTCCCACGAGAGAGTGCAGCCTAAGTCCCACGACTGCATGCAGCCTATTTCCCACGACTGCATGCAGCCTACCACCCCCTGAAATATTAGACTGTCCCGTAAATGTTTATTTTTCTGTTTGGGGTAGGAAATTAATAAAGGACCTACAGATGGAAGCCAAACCTGACGGGCCACTGGGTGAATTATAAAACACAACCAAGCTCAAAGTAGAGACACATTGCAGATATAGACAATCTATTTCAAATGAATGAAAGAAGAAGGTGTGTTAGACCTGCATAAATAAAGAAGCCCATACCTTGATGGACTGTTGAAGAACTGACATCACAGTCCTTGCGACATTCCCATAAGTGCTTCGTCATCATCTTCAGCAGCCAGCGAGCAGTTGCAATTCCGATGGTGCCAGTAGCGGTTTGATTATATGTCCTCTGAGTGTAGAGTGTTGGCCTTGCATGGGGCATGCCTGTCTCCAGCATGGTGGTGGTGGTAGATCTGCCCAGCTTTAACTGGATACATGTAAAGCCCTGGGAAATCAGGGTGGCCGGCTTGAAGCTGACTACATCAACCACTGAGTGGTTTATAAAATATAAGTCTAGCCCTACGTGCCCAGTGTGTATGAAAGCGTAGAAAAGGGTCCTTTACTTTAATGATCTGGTTAGTCCAAGAAAAGGAGTGCAAAGAAGAACATGGAGTGACAACAACGGACAAGACTATGTTATCATACACTTATTCATAAAGCGAATGACAAAGATGGTGGGTTTTATGTGATAGAAGTGATAGGCTATTAGAAGTGAACAGAGTCTGGCCAAAGATGACTACCACTTACTTGACCGGCATGGGCAGGTCATTGTCCTACGTCTCAGGACAGGACATAACAAACTTAACCAGCATATGCACAGGCTTCGTCTAAGTAGTTCACCTTTTTGCCCTTGAGGGCTATGTGTGCAGACTACAGAACATGTCCTGCAAGACTGTCCCTTGTTCAGCCCATTAAGAAAGGAATACTGGCCCAGTGAGTCACCACTGTACACAAAGTTGTATGGGACTAAAAATGAACTCATAAAAACAGTCAAGTTTATCACAAGAACCTGTCTGTCGGTGTAAATCAGAAAGCGAACACAAGAAGAAGAAAAAGAAGAATGTGATAATGCTTCCATCAATACACTACCATAACCCTAATCGATCAAGGGTTACGTTATGTATGTTAACAGGCAGAGGTACTCCGATTTCAAAGGAAACACACCCAATAAGTCGCCCTTTACGACATGTGGCTGTGGGGAGTGAGTCAGTTCTCTCCCTTCAAAATGGGCGTTGGAACCCACAGTCAAATTCACCGACAATATATCCGTTACATTTCATTATTTTCTATTTCATCTGCACTCTTCCATGACCTAATGCTGACTTGAAACAAAATCATGCATGCCTTGCTTGTATGTGTTTTCTCCCTTCTGTACATACATTTCTTCACATATGAATAACATCGTCTGGTCAATCTCTACTCTTTCTGAAGTTTTAACTCTCCAAGCCAATTTATCAACGGCGCTCCTATAGACTACACAACTTCTATACAAAGCACGCAAGCGTTCATGAATGGTTGACCTCTTTCCTTTCACACAACTAGAAATTTAACAATTCCGATATGCCTTAGTCTCTCTCTGCAGAATGGCTAGCCGCCTGCTGAGAGTGCCACACAGAGCACAAACTCCTTAGCTCCAGTGACGATCTCCAGGATTTCCGAAAAAATTGCACTGGTGAACTGAAGGGCGTAGCTGTGGAACGAACTCACAACCTTCAGAGTGAGAGGCAAATGGCTTGACCACTTCACTACAGAGACTCCCAATCACAAGCAAAGAAATAGTCTAAAGAAAAGAATACAATGATGACCAGACAAACAAAAAAAGATGTCTAACATTCTTTATTGAAGCTTCTAGTTACAACAGAACAAACTGTAAAATGAAAAGATAATGCTTATTTCTTAAAAACATGTATATAAAAAGAATTCAACTAAAAGAAAAAAAAGTCAAGGTGATAAATATAATACATGGACTAATACTTTTAAAACATTCTACATAAATACTAAAATTAATCAATGTAATAACAAATATATAAAAGATAATCTAAACCAGTGTTCTTCAAACAGTGAGTAGCGCTCATCAAGGTCTTAGGAGAATGGCGCTGCTGGGAGTAAAGGGGGTATCTGGCCAACACTTGACACTCAAGACAGAGGTACAGACAGTTATTGGTACCATTAAAACTGGAACTTTTGGCTTGCTGTTGAAGATGGGGATGTAGCGATTATGGAAGTGTCTAGAGTGCAATGATGTTGATTCTTTATTCAGTAAGTGAGCCATGTGAAAAGCCCAGGTGGGCTGCCTAGAATTTCTGCCTAATCTTGTAACAGAGTAGGTTAGGTAGTTTTTCTCCTACACGATTGCTGTCTGGAGGATTTTACATCTCAAGGATGAGAATCAAACCAGTACAAGTCCTTGAAACCCCATTCAGCTGCATATTATGGCACACGATAGTTACGTAACTAGATGTTTAGTTGCGTTGAGAATAAGGAAACAACTCAGGTTATTACTATATGATTTCTGCAAAGCGAGCGTGACATTGTATGCATCAATTCTGCTTCTGGTATTTTATTTGCTGTCAGGTGGGCCACAAAATAATTGTACATGTTTTGATCTGTCGCAACTATAAACACACAAGTTGAGGAACACTGTTCGAAACTGTTTATTCTTTGTTTAGTTTTTGGTATATCTCAAACCCAGTTGCAACAAGTCAACAATATTCAAATACTAGTTTAGATTATACCGGACATAGGAAAGTCAGTAAAATGAAATACTATTGATTATACCGGACATAGGAAAGTCAGTAAAATGAAATACTATTGATTATGCCGGACATAGGAAAGTCAGTAAAATGAAATACTATTGATTATGCCGGACATAGGAAAGTCAGTAAAATGAAATACTATAGATTATGCCGGACATAGGAAAGTCAGTAAAATGAAATACTTTAGATTATGCCGGACATAGAAAAGTCAGTAAAATGAAATACTATAGATTATGCCGGACATAGAAAAGTCAGTAAAATGAAATACTAGTTTAGATTATGCCGGACATAGGAAAGTCAGTAAAATGAAATACTTTAGATTATGCCGGACATAGGAAAGTCAGTAAAATGAAATACTAGTTTAGATTATGTCGGACATAGGAAAGTCAGTAAAATGAAATACTATAGATTATGCCGGACATTGGTAACTCAGTAAAATGAAAGGAACCTTTTTATGCCTCTAGCGTATCTGGCAAATCATTCAAGAACTCCATTCTTATAAACCAATCCAAACTTCTGAAAAAAAAAATATTTATACATCCTAGGTGTATTGAGCAAAGATCGACTTGGGAACGATGACATCAGGAAGACAGTCGGCAGAACCAGCACTGAACTTTATAGGTAGACAAGAAATGGTCTAGCCACCTAATAAGATTGGCATCACAAAGGGCACCAAAGAGAACAATGTTATACAGATAGAGCGATAACACATCCAAAGGTTGACCACGCAAATGATGGACCACAGAAATATCAGAGACAATGAAAAGTACTTTATTCGAAGCAAACAGAAGGGCCCGTTCCAGAGATCTCTTCCTGGTCTGACACCATGAAGCATTCTAAGAGTAGAGAAAAGAAGAAGAATAGAATAACTTCTTTCCTTAATTAAACAAACATTTATTGAAATTTGAAAATGTTATTGCTAATAATTTTATTAAGTCAGTAAATCTTTCCTGACCAAAGCTTGCCTGGAAAATTCTTGAAGAAAATACTTATTTAACCTTCTTCTGCTTCTGTTGCTGCTGCTGCTTCTGTTGCTTTTGGTCTTGTGGAGAGTCTCGGTAAGCAGAACTGAACAGAGCATCCAGAACCAAAGCTATGGGGATCAATAAATAGGGAGTGTAGACTGACAAGAGGAACAGACGCTCATTAAAGTTTCGCGGGCTAGGTAGTTTCTCCTTAGAAAAATCTTGCAACAAAACGTGAAATATGATCGGAACCAGCGTTGTTGCCACATGGCTTCCGTAGATAATACAGGGCAATCTCAGCCATTTACAGATCCGGGCACCTGCAGACAGCAAGAGAGGAACGTAAGTTAAGAAATATCGCTTTCTCTCTCTCTCTCACATAAAATCTTAATTAACAATAGAAATACAACTGTGAAGTGTTCACTTAATAATATCAAACATCAATGTAATTAATGTTCATCATCATCATCATCCCGCAACACTACATGTTGTTGGGTCACCAGTTTCTGCTGACTGTCTGATCAGCTCTCTCCACCTTTGGCGGTCAGTTGTGATGGACTTCATGGTTGCATGCCCGAGGCCTGTCCAGTCAGTCAGGTGCTGTTACCAGGTCTTACTTAGTCTGCCTCTTCTCCTCTACTGAGCCCTGCAGTATTAGGTTTTTTTTTTGGAGACCATTAGATCTTAAAACATGTCCATACCATTGCATTTTTTGCTTTTTCACTGTAGTTAGAAGAGGTTTATAGCTGCCAATGTGCAATCTCACTGCATAAAACCTAGATTTGAGACATGAACCATAATGCACTGCACATTTATCTGGAATACAGCTCTGTGAGTGATGTGTACGATGTATGCAGAACATACATATTTGCTTTTTTGAGGGTATATTTGGGTGTTTGTATAATCAAACAACACAATGAGTTTATATACGAGCAGGGGGTGTTACGGACAAAGAATTCACATTAAATAAAATTTAGATATCACATATCATATCCAACATGAGGGCTAAGAAAAGTAAGAAAGAAAAGAAGAAGAAAATCACGTAATGCCGGGTTCGATCCCAGCTGCAGACAGTTTGTCTTGGGATGGTTTCAACAGTGGTGCCGAAAGCGTACTGTTCAAAAAGCAATGGCAAACTACTGAATGTAAAATTTGCTTAGAAAAACCACAACAGCCAAACAATACTTGGGTTGGTTCTGCAATGTCATGTAAAGGATACGCAACTAATTAATCACAGTCGAGTCTGGATAAGTAGAAGAAAATGCTTCCACTTATCAGGATTTCTGCTTATCCAGACACACACACAATAGAGAAAATTGCCAGGACTAAGCTGGTCATGTCGACTTAACCGAAATTCGACTTATTCGAGTTCGATTTAAAAACTCAAATCCTGGAACAAGATGAAAAGCAACAGGAACTTTCCGCCAGAATTTACAGCTAGTGAACGCTAAGAAGAAGAAGTGTGTGAGCACATTTCTGCGCTGGATTTGGTAATAATCCAGTAATATATCAGAACATGTAAAAGTAAGTAAAGGACCCTTTTCCATGCCTTTCATGTGTACTGGGTATATAGGGTTAGACCTATATTTTATAGACCAAGCTCTACTTGGTGGGTAATGTGGTCAGCATCATGTCGGCCACCGTTACTTTCCAGGAATGTACCTGGTACCCACTCAAAGCTGGGTTGATCTGGGAGCCAAAGTCATTTAAAAAAAGTCTGGCCCTCGTCAGTAACTTAATCCACAACCTTCCGATCCGCAGGCAAGCGTCTAGCCGCTAGACCAGGTCGGCTTCCTAAAAGAACATGTACCAACCTTTGAAGAAGCCATAAACAGCAACAAAGAAAAAGGGGAACTGAAAGAGCTCGCACACAATCAGCGACTTGAACCACACTGGTGGTAGCATCAGCAGGGGGTCACGGAATTCTGTGCAGTACCAATCTTTCAGTGCTATTAGCTGAAACACAATAACAATACATAACTATTTAAATTCAAACATTGTGTATTAGTTATTTTCAAATCCTAGCACTTTTCTATATCTTGTTGACTGACACAAAGATAACGTTAATAAGATTAACTTCATCGCATTGGATTATCTGGTATGGCTTGTTCTCTGGCTGCAGATGGTTAGCCACCTGCCGAGTGTGTCACACAGGGCACAAACTCTGCAGCTCCACCAACAATGCCAGGGATCTCAGTAAAAACCTAATGAACATTTTGGGAGCTGTCAACCTTCACAGCAGTAGACAAACTACTGGACCATTTCACCAATTTATGGTGACAGCTGTAAGGATTTGTATAGAAGAAATGGATAACATTCTTCACATCCTGTGGTTATTCCCTGATTATCCAGCTGTTTTAGACTGGAAGCTAAAAACTAGGAATCCAAGTGCACATCTGTGTGTCTGACACAAAATAGTGATATCTAAATATTTGCTGGCTGGTCTGTTTTATATATAGTAGTGATTGCTCTCTCTCTTTTATGGTAATTTTCTCCGATAAAAGATAACAGCTCTTTGTTAGTTTGTTTTCTCTAATACGATATGATAGTTAACTCTTTGTTGGTTTGTTCTCTCTGATACGACATAATAGTTCACTCTTTCTTGGTTGTTCTTTCTAATACAACATAATAGTTCTCTTTGTTGGCTATTCTCTCTGATCAATTCACAGGTGTACGCGTTAGCAGGTAATGATTACAATGAAGAAGGTATCATGTGATATTATTATCCTTGTCCCTTGGCTGTTATGATAAGGACGTGGTGGATGATCTCCAGATGGGTGCATCGGATGCAGGACTTGCTTGTGATCGAGAAGTTTTCCGGAGTGTTGTTATGGGAGCTAGGTTCTGCAAGGGACATGCTACTGACTGACTGGCAACTTGTATCTTTCACACGTTACAGTTTCTGCATGAATGGGTAGTATTATTTCTCCTATGTTCCAGACAATAAACCCATTGACAAATTTATTTAGTATTTGCAATAAATAGCACAATTACAACTTACAGTAATTATAAATAGTAATAGTAAGATATAAACATCTGGCTCTCCTTCGAACTTCGTCCCCATATTATGGCGGCTAAACAAATACCCTAATAGGGCCTCAGCCGTGAGTAAAATGCGGACTTCCTCTGATGAACTCATCGCTGCAAAACTAGGATTACTGTCCATTGACACTTTCGAGAAACGCAACAATACATGCAATAATAGTGACATGGCGGGGAGACCACACACTCCAACGCAGGTTAGGGATAGTGTTCTTCTGATTAAACACACTGCCGAGCTTATCCCCTGCGTCGCTATGTGCTGTGCGGTGCAGATTGGGGGCTAAACTAGATGGCTGGGACTCACGAGCAGCAGCTACCACATCTCCTGCAACTTCCTGCAACTTCCTCCAATTTATTTGCTCGTTAGTTCCAGCCATCTAGTTTAGCTCCCAATCCGCGACGCGCATAGTGGTGCGAGGGATACTCTAGGCGGTGTGGCATCGTCACAGAAACAGGTCAGCAATTAACATATCGCTGAGACCCTGTTAGAGCATCTGTTGGTTCTACTTATAACTACGGCCACTTATTATGGAGTACGCCGGAGTTCAGTCCCCTGGCCGCATTGCACTTACGGAGTGGACAAGAGGGAACGAAACAAATGACGTAATTACTGTGTGTTGGCAATAGATGCACTGCTGTCATGTTAGGGTTAGGGTATTGGTACTCCTTAAAACTACGGCCACTCGTAACCCTACCCCTACCCCTAACATGACAGCAGTGCATCTATCGCAGTAATTACGTCATTTGTTTCCTTAGCTCTTGTCTACTCCGTAATTGCAATGCGGTCAGGGGACTGAACTCCGGCGTACTCCCTAATAAGTGGCCGTAGTTTTAAGGAGAACCCATTGAGGCCCTGTTCGGGTATTTGTTTGGCCGCCATAATATAGCGACTACGGTGTTTGGAAATTGGCGGTCTTTTTGGCAATTTCTGTTACCACGGAAACCGTTCGAAACTTGTTTGGGAAATGACGGCTGGGGTTTCGGGATATGTCCTAATCTCTCATGAAATTTTGCGATTGGTGTGATTTTCACCAGCTATAAATAGCTGAAAACGGCGGGAACGAACCCGATTAACAGCGCAAGTCTACGACAGCTGGACGTCCTCTGTTTTTCTGTTACAATCAGTTCGATTAAAAATAGCGGTAAGTATTCAAGGTTGGCTTTAGGCTTTAACATTACTTGACATGGTAATGCTAGTTATAATTGAATTCTCCGTCCAATTTTACATTTGTATATAAAATTTCTTTCTTAGGTATGGCTAATTCGATTTACAGTGACATTTTTCAGGCTATCGCTTTTATGTGGCTGTGTCTGAGAAAAATTGTCTGCCATCTTGTCCAATGTAAACAAAGCCAAAACAACAGTGTGCAGTTTGGTTGCACAGAGAAAACTTCTTGTTTCTGGGACGCAAGTTTTAGCAGCTGTTTTTTACATCTCATCTCCACAAAAACCTACATCATATCTCAGCTCAGAAATGACATACAAGCCTAAATGAGGTACCACTGGAAAAAGATTGTTTACAGCTATCTAACTGTTCTGGTTTTATTGGTGTAGAGGGAATTTTAAAAATTTGACTAAAGTTTCTACATAATTTGGGAATGAAGTTTGAAGGAGAGCCCATATTTCTTTGGCAATGGAAAGCGTAAGCTACTATTATAGACGTTATATGCACGCTTCGCCAACCCTAGAGTTTAGAGCAGTGCTAGCACCTATCTACTCAGTAGGCCAAGTGTTGTTGAGTAGGTCAGAAGGCAGGACACAGAGAGCAGACTACCGACCTGTTGACTGCTCTGCCTTCAATAAATAATTAGCCATTTGCAATACTTTTTTTAAAAAGTAAAACTAAAAGTACTAAAAGTTTACCTGTTGCGGGTAATACTTTGATGGTAACAGAGCTTGGAAATCAACCAACACTGAGATCGGAATGTGGGTGAGGAAATAAATGAAAAATATGACGTCTAGAAACCTCATTTTGTACGAAATGTGTTTGGGGAATCAAGTGAACCTGTTTCACTTCGTTTGTACCGGGAGAATCAGAAACCGGAAGTTATGCTAAACTTGAAGATGTCTTGTTTCAACATCCTGTGCCATGTCGATGTTTGTTTGTTTTAGTATCCAGAAGCCATGTGTTGTTAACCCTTAGGCTCGGTATTATGGATATCGCAACCCTTCGGTCTTGATTCCATTTTAAATACCGTAAATCTGGGAGAAATGTGGCTTTTCTGCCTACCCCCGGGAGCGAACCCGGACCACAAGGAGTTCGTCACCCGCTCACCGCGCAATCCGGTTTAGCCAACTACGCTAGAGAGACGGGCATGACATGTCGATAAACTCAGGCTATCGCATTTGGCCTTTAGGCTTCTCAGACAATCACTGTTTATGATCAGATTTATATCCTTGACTCATAAGCGCCATTTAGCCAAGCGATATTGATATGTCGCCCTGCATTTTTCTTTTGCTTTTTCCCTGTCACATTTTCCCACTGTCCATCACATTTATTTCTCCTTACAAGACATGCAGCTGCCTGCGACATGAACAAAAATGACTTTCAAATGTCATAATTCTATTTCTATTATTCGCCGAGAAGTAAATTTGAGATTCGATTGCAAAGAATGTTCCTCAAGAAACATTAGAAATGCGGGGAGGGGGGGGGGGGGGGGTTGGCTGTCATAGAAGAGGTGGGCAAAGAAGAACCTGGAATGACAAGAACAAGAAATAGACAGGACTAAGTTATCATACACTTATTTAACAAGCGGAAGACAGAGAAAGATGGTGGGCTTTATGTGCTAGCCCTTCCATCGACACATCTCCAAGACCCCAACGGGTCAAGGGCTTTGTTATGTAAATCTGAGGAATTCGTTTTGTTACTTCAATTTTTATTCACTACAAACAAACCAAGTAGCTATATTTAGAGTAGCTTTTGTATACTCACCGGGTAGTTCCCCGCCTGGGTTTATGGAACTCTGAACCATGCATTATAGCTCCAGGACTACCATAGGAATCTGCAATTTCTCCTGTGCTGTTCAATGTTTTTACGAGCAAGATTACATACCTGGAAACACCTGCAGTTGGCAGAACATTGACATTTGCTGATGATGTTCTCGTATAAAAGAAGGAGAGAGAGAGAGAGAGAGAGAGAGAGAGAGAGAGAGAGAGAGAGAGAGAGAGAGAGAGAGAGAGAGATCAGAATCAAATTGCTCAAGAGTTACAGACAACAGTAGAAAAGCTGATCGACTGGTTTACAGGGATGAGTGCTGTAATCTGATACCAATCTACATACCCAAGAGGTGGGTCTTCTTGTCAGAAATTCCTCTTAGATGAGAATTCAAGGAAGAAAAATTGTCAGTCAGACACATACCAGAATTCAAATGTCTACGAAGCTTATTTACATAGGATGGCAGACTCGATAGAGAGATTGAAGCCAGAGTACAGAAGGCAAACGCTGTGACCTAACAGTTAGCCCCACTGCCTAAACACCCAAATGTCTTCCTTCAAGCTAAACAGTAATTGATTAGCATCTTCATCCCTATTTTATGCTTTTAGTGCCAAGCATAGATAATAAATAGTGCACTAGAAGAAGAAATAGCTACCATAAGGTCATTAACAGAACGAGAAGGGACGGGGTTATGAATACTAGTTTGATATGTTTGGACTATTCTTTCTTCTTCTTCTTCTTCTTCTTTTCTTCTTCTTCTTCTTCTTCTTCTTCTTCTTCTTCTTCTTCTTCTTCTTCTTCTTCTTCTTCTTCTTCTTCTTCTTCTTCTTCTTCTTCTTCTTCTTCTTCTTCTTCTTCTTCTTCTTCTTCTTCTTCTTCTTCTTCTTCTTCTTCTTTAACTTCTTCCAGGACATCACACAAGCGATCTTCACCCGATGACATAAAGTTCTTCCATGCTTCTTCTGATCACCCGTTCTTCTTCTTCTCCTTCTTCTTCTTCGCTTCTTCTTCCATTAGACTGTTCTTTTTGGCCCCACCAGGACATATTGCGCACCCGATGACATAAAGTGCCACCATGCGGATGATTATCACCCGTGGAGAGGTCCCAGAAACCGCCTTCAGCCATTAGACTGTATTTATGGCCGGGCTATATTGCGGCCCTGGCAAGAGCCAAAGTAGGGCTTCAAATAATGAAACATGCATGCTGAAGAAGAAGGCCAACCAGAGAGATGAATGGGTGCGGGTGATATCTGCAGCAATAAAGTCAAGGGCTCGGAATGCTGAAGGAGAAGGCCAATCAGAGAGATGAATGGAGGCGAGTGATATCTACAGCAAGGAACCTTAAGGGCTAGGAATGCTGAAACAGAAGAAGAAGCTCTAACGTTTTTCACATGAAATCTGGATTTTTCGAATTTTCGTGTTAACGAGATTTTAGGCATTTTTATCCCAGAGCTCACTCTACCTTCATCATTGAAGACAGCCTTAGATAGATCCACCCTTTTCCCCATCAACAAGCATGTTGTAAAAGGTGAATAAGGGTTTAGCTGAAATTAAAAATCGTTCGGGGCTGAGTGGTTTCGGGGCATGGCGTCCCTCTCGAGTTCTGGAGGTCCCGGGTTTAAGCCCCGGTGAAGGCTGGAATTTTTTTCACGTGGACTTCTAGTTTTTATAAGGAGTAGAAAATTATAGGGAAGAGAAAAAGTTGGTAAGAAACAACAATTAGTTTATGTTAGCTTTACAAAATCGATCACAATAAACAAACAAAGGACGTTGCGGCGATTAGCCTTCATCAGCACATAAAGGACAACACAGTACACATACACAAATAGGCTCTAACTCTGAAGTGACTACATAGGACTCTAATGTATAAAAAAAACGATACTCATCTAGTGTCCCTGGCGAAAAAAACTTCGTTCAAATGAAACGACGGTCAGCCTATATACCTCCAACGCGCAGGTAGGGGCAAAAAAAGGGACGGGCTGGACGCCAACAGCGTACACTTTTTGGCCTATAGGGCGTAACCGGGGTTGGAGTAGTTTCCCCTGGTTTCTAGGTAGTGAGATCGGACGCCCGGGTGTGTTGTTTCGCCCGTAAAAAATCCCTTGGCATTTTGGAAATCGAAAAGTGTAATTTAACTAACGGCGTTGCCCGGGCAAAATTTAAGTTTAAAAATCTACTCAAAGTATTTAGGGATCCTCGTCGGTGCTACGGTGTTCGTGCACGGCGCTGAGATTCTTCAGACTCAGGCTTGAGTTAGAAATAGAACGGAGCAAGCACTTATGAGTTACTAGCCCTGTGCCATGATGGTGATCCATTGTTTAAAACGAAAACCTTAACTTAGATGTGTTGGGGCTGAAGGAGCAGTCATCACGGCCTTGCTGTAAACCACAAAACAACGCGCCAACCGCTCTTTTAAGTGTGAACGACAAGAAAGATGTATGATTATTATTTGAAATATTAGGAGCAGTTATGGTCGGTTTTCAAAAGCAATTATCCCACCACAAATGGTATACTTGCAGACTTGTTGAGGGCTTGTGGTCAGTCATGTCATGTGTCACGGTCGTTCCGAAGTGGATAGATGCTTTTGTATTGAGTAGGAGTTTACCTCTCAACACTTCACCTCCACCAGAGAAACTAGACTATTATCCGAGCTATGTCCTAAGTCCTAGGATATCCAAGAAAACAGCCATATTTGGCTCGTCATGTAAATACACAACAGCTGCACTTAGTACCCACAGGAGTAGGAGAAGGGATAGATAGATATCAAGATGAACCCAATGAGATATCAAGATACACAGTTAACCCTCCGACTTTCTCCTCTCTTGGTAAAGAATTATTAATGAGCTCCCACCAAATGTAATTTTATCTATCAGTTGGGTTAAACAGGTAAGACTGAATAAACTTGGAATTTAATTTTTTGACATACAGCTTTATTTGCTAACAATCAGTTAAGTGCAATTCCCAGTTTGTTGTGTTTACACAAACAGTGACTGGCTAATGTTATGATAATGACGAGATGCTTCAGCGAGAAAACGAGCACCTGGGATTAGAGTGGTGTGATGAGGGTGATAAAGTAGGAACAATGTGTGAACATAACTTTTTTTATAGAAACTCTGACAGCCGTGATAAAAACTCGCATTACGAAGCGTTCGCATCGATAATACTTTTTACTCTAAATTATTTCTTAATTTCATAGATAATGTTGATCGATACATAACACTAGATCACATTCCTGTTTATTTCTAGTTTTGTTTCTAAATATTGCTGTTCTTGTCAGCCTGGGCTGTAAGTTAACCGCTGCTATATATGTATATACAGTGTATAGAAATATAAATGTTCGTTTGTCGCTAATCGCTAATCTCAGAAAGTTCTTCACCAATTGCTTTGACATTTTGAGAGAGAGTTGCATTCGACTACGCGCGTGTCTATATAAGAGTGTCGCAAAAAGTACGAATTACATAGCTCCCGCTTTTGGTTTTGTTTTCCGATAATCCTATTTTTTCTCTCTTTTTTTTAATGGTTGTTGCCGCATACCCGGTGCGGGTTTTTGCTATCGCTGGTAGGCGAACTTCGACTGCTGACCTCGGAAATTTGCATGAAGCTATATGAAATAATAATTATTTCGTTATGGGGACGAGGAGTTGTTGAAAGTTTGTCTGGACATGTAAAGATTTATGAATAAAAACAAGTTCGAATTAAAAGTTGTAAGAATAAACAGAGTTGTTTTTAAGTCTGAACGGGAATGAAAGATTAGTGATGACCGAGGACTGTCACCACAGCCTTCAGGACAGATCCGTAGGTTCTCAGATCTTTTCCTTGAAAGCTCTACAAACGCAAACACCACAAACGAAGCCTGTTCTGTGGTGATCAATCAGACGATTCTTGCCCTTTATGAAATATTATTGTCTGGCTGCTCCAGGTGGCACTCCCATAACCACAACCCTGGACATGATATGCATCTCACTTAACATTATTGACATCACTACTGCCCATGCAGTGGAAAGTCACAGTAACCGACTTTGCGATTTTGCCTCGC